CGTTGTTCCACAGTCTTGCTCCCTTGAGGAGGTTACCCTCACCCGAACCCTCCTTGCAGGCGAAGCCGTCGGCACTCTCGCCGTTCTTGCGGGGGTCTCTGTTACCGTAGGAGTCGAGATAGAGAACTTTGTTGTTGGAGGACGAGCCTTCCAATTGGAAGCCTAGAGTTACTGGTCAGCATGCTGTGTAACTCTGCGGGAAAGGCAAAATACCAGTCTCGTAGTTATCCCTCGTGATGAGTCGCTCGTAGTGATTGTTGGACGCATCGCGCGCATACACGCCGTACGGACCATGGATCAGCTCTAGGTCGTAGAACTGCCAGTAATTCGCGTTCTGGATGTGAAGGATTCCGCGGTCTTCGTTTGGGAGGGAAGCGTCGAGGGGGGCGGGTGTTCTATCTCGTCAACAAGCGACTAGCACATATGACAAAAGACCTACCCAGGTAGAGCTTCTCCATCGATAATGACTTTCTCGCCCTGGTAGGCGCGCAGGGTGTATGGCTTGGTCGCTGTCCCGCTCTTGGTGATCTGGATGTTGCTGGTGGGCGAATATGTTCCCTCGCGAAGGTAGATGGTATCGCCTGGCTTTGCGAGGTTGACGGCGGACTGAATGGAGTTCAAGGGGGAGGTAATGCTCCCTGAGCCACTGCTGGACCCTGTGGTAGAGACATAGATGGACGCGGCCAGCGCTGTGGGCAGAAGCCCGAGGACGATCTGGAAGTACTTCATTGCGGCCCTGAATGCCTCTTCAAGGTAAGAAGTACATCAGTCGTCTTCCCAGTTTTTATATACCCGAGTTCCACCCCATTGCTGGAAAAACAGGACACTACCCGGGGCTGGAGAGTAGCCAAGACTTCACCACAGTACAAAAGAATCTTCCGCTGCAGGGGCCTTGCTTGGCGCTTCAACTTTGCCGGGTATGATTTGTGCAGAATCTGGGGATATTGTGTCATTGTCCACGTATAGATATGATCGTCACTTTACGAGGTGGAACTGTCGGTCAAATGCCGGCATGAAACCCGCTTTGGTTTGGAAGCACAATCTACGAGTACGGGCAATGTCCGTAAATGACTCGCGGAATAATCAAATGCTGAGGGTACTCGGGGATTGCTATTGCGTAGACCGAGATTGTTGCATCACATACAGTATCTTGCCTGCAAAGTCCAGTCAATGACTACCCTGCCTCTCCTTCAACGCCCAGTCCAATAACTCCGGATACCACCGTCGTCCCACATCCTGATGACTTGTGATCCGATGTATCAGCGTCCCCTCGCCCGTCTTCCCCCGAAACGCTTTATTAAACGTAGCCTCCGCATCCGACCGAACCTGCTGATCCTTGACTAGCTCCCTAATATGCGCCGGAATATCCAGGTGGATATCCTCCGCACACAGCTCGAGACTCATCCCCTGGAAAACAGGAAAGGAGAACCTCGGCCCCAGTGCCTTTCCGTCTGCATCGACAAAATTCTGCGGCCGTAGATTCACTCGATGCGTGGTGGCTGTGCACACACCCCCCGTGACTGCCTCCAGCGCCCGCCCGATATTCACCACAAGCGAGCCATCCAGCGGCGGCGCGGGGATCCAATCGCCGGATTTGTTCTGCACTTCGAGCCCTGAGTGAGGGGTCGCCTGCAGCAGGAAAGTGAGGAATTCCGAGTCCTTGTGCGCGCCGACGCCCTGCGCGTCGGAAGCGCTGCTTGGTCGTGGATACTTGATTAGTTTGAGTTTGTGCTGTGGCGGCTGGTCGAAGAACGGGTACAGAGCGTTTGAGGGAAGATCCAGCGCTTCTGCAATGAGGGATTTGAATGCCTCTGCCAGGGGACGGATTTCAGCCAGGTACGCTTCGATGGCCTTCCGGAAGCCGGGGATGGCGCTTTCATCAGGCCACTGATTTGGTCCCCGGATGTTTCTGTACAGGGGCTCATCTGGCCCAGGGGCTGGAAGTTCCGTTGCAAACTATTATCGTTAGTCTACTCTGTATCTTTATGACAAGAGCCACTTACATCGAATTGCTCCCGGTAATCTGTCTTGGAGGCAGTCGTCTCCGCACCGAGGCGGGAATAGCCCAGGAAGTGCTTGCTGTTGACCATTTCAATCTCGAGTTTCTTCTCTAGCGGCAGGTCAAATACTGCCAGGGACTTTTCGATGAATGCCTGCTGGACATGAGGCGCGATTGGGGTGTGGACGAGATAGAAGAACCCCACATTGACCACAGCATTGCGCAACTCCGAGAGAAAGCGAGGTTTTGTGTCTGGCGATGCAGATAGCGAGAAGTCGAGAACAGGAATGCTTGTAAATGACTGTGCAGATGATGAACCCATCGTGGTTGTTATGATATTGATGGATGGATAATAATGTTGTTGCAAAGATTTATGCTTTGATGCCCCGCGATGGCGTGATCAGCATTAACTGATCTCCGCCCGATGCTTTACTATCTATATCATGACTTTATACCGAGCACATATCTATCCTAGTATACCATGATTTTATACTGCACACACCAACAATCAAAGAATCTGAATACCTGTCTGCCACCACTTCTCCCCTGTCCAGATCTGAACATACCTTCTTGTTCCCACAAACCACCCCTCTCCCTCAATGAAGCCCAATCCCCGAATAATACTGATCGGACATGCCTCATCATACACCCATGTCCCAGCGGCAGCCAGATCATCGCAAAAAGGTCCGATAACAAGGTATAACCACGCATATGTCGAGATGACGTTGAATACTCTCCAGAAAATACTTCCTTCCGAGAATAATACGCCCCGTAGCTTTCTCTGGACGAGCAGCCCCAGCGGCTGCAGCATAAAAAAGAGTAGGGCTCCAAAATGCACCGAGCCCGGCGCGACAAAGTGCGAATGGACAGCACAGAAATGAACCAGTCCGCTCAACAGAAACGCGACAGAATGCCTTAGAAACCTGGTCATATCTTTATTTTCGAAGTTATCGGGGACAACATGACGTGCGGTCTCTGAGAACGCATATCGGTAAGCCTGATGCCAGCGTCGCCCCCACCAGCCTTCCAGGCCATAGTCGAACACTGGTTTGAAATCGAAAAAGCTATTGAAAAGAGGAGGATATAACCACGGTGCCTCGAGGGGTATACGGGTCCATTTGATAAGAGCCGGACAGACAGTGACAGCCAGACTGATGATGAGAGGCACCATGGAGGCTATATAGGCCATGCTCGTGCGGATCCAGAGAACTGTCACGACTGCGCGGAAGAGGTGTAAGAGTGCCGGTGAGAAGTGGTTTATCCGGTCGAGGGGATAGAGAGGAGCAGCATCGATGAGCCCCCAGAAGTACGGGTCCAGCATGGTGAGGACTTTCAAGAAATCCATAAGCAGGTAGTAGCGAGCTGTCCTCAGAAAAGAGGTCCGAAGAAAATCCGACGCCGGCGCGTCCTGAGGCAACTCTTTGCCGTCTGTGGATGTCTGCTGGTCCTCGGAACTGATCTTTGGAAGCGGAGGTAGTCCAGGAATCCTCCAGTTCCAGCCTGCACCACGCAGACTGCCAAACATATCTAGTGACCAGCTTAGACGGTGACATCTCGAGTCTGGATAGCCTTGCCAATACAGGGTCCCATCTGACGATCGCTCAATCCGAAAACACTCGTTCTGGACATCCTTGAAGAGAAGGAGTAAGGCAGTCCAGATGACAATAAAGACATAGTAGAAGCCGATGACGGTGCCTCCGCCGGTGAGACATCGCGTGTGCAGCAGGCTCTTAATTGCAAGGGAAGATACGAGTCCGAATGTTGTGCGCCTGATGGCGATCACCCATGACTGGCCTTTGTTGGGAATCAGCAGCACCAAAATGGGAATGATCAACACGAGAAAATCATGCGGGAACACCCATGGGGAAATGGCTCCTTGATTAACCAAGGAAAAGAACTCGGCTTCTTTCTGGCGAAGGAATTCTCTGTACGGAACTGCCGATATTGACATGATTCCTGTGGGAGAATTCCAAGATGAGTGCGATGAGGTTGAGTTGGAGGTGGATGGAGAAAGCAAGGGGATTTGGGCATCGTCGCGATAAACATCCCGCTGTCGATCTGTAGCGTGGGACATTTGTTTTTCTTAGATTGGGTTGAACCAGACAATCTTATCGACAAGTTTCCAATTAGGTCGGTGGTAGACAAACCTTATATTTACTATAATTACTACTTAGGGCTATCTTGATGATACTACTATTAGGCAGTCAGACTATCTCAAAGTAGATCCTTTGATCTATTGCCGGTGGTGTAAGTTGCAGAAGTACCTTTGTCACTGACTGTATAATCAGGACTTACAAAGCCTTACCACACAAAATATCAATACTAGTAATACAATATTCTAAGTATAAAGGCTCTCCCGTAAAGGGCACGTTTACAATCCAAGCCAGGTACCCTACGAGCCAATGCTGTATAGTTTGACTTAACAGGCTTCCTTCTCTAAACATAAGTAAAGAGTACTTTCAGTAGAACCTTTGGAGTGGTTAGCCACAAAAGTGCATTTTTATGTAACTTTTCTAGAATATACAAACCCCATTACATGATAAACTTTAACAGTTAGGCCACATATGGAGTTATTAAACTTAAAACCTCGGCTTGGAAGACAAAATCCGACATCGTATAGCCATATGTACGACATCACAAGTATCTTACCTGGGGCTATCGTCATGGACTTCATCCTTCCAAGTATATTGACTCTTTTGTATGTAACGTAGTATCTGTCATATCATACTGAACCCACGTAGAGCAAATGGCACGTCTGTATACAGGCGACGCCCATGATATCTCCTGGGCTGGCCACAGGATTATCCCTTCCGGGAAGGACTATTTCATAGGATTGATGGCAGTATGTATTATCGTGTCCGTCGCCCTAACTCACAGCGAAAAGAAACAGGTGATCTCTTTGTACTTTTCTTGCGCTTGATGGAGCAGGAAGCCACCGAAAACGGATTAGACATCCCGAACGAGGCAAAAATTCATCTAATTAAGATGCAGGGACCTCGATATGCGTCACTTCATGAACCAGCTAGGGCGGTATTTCCAAAACTGGGACGGCTATCAGAACCTCGTATCCCAGGGGTTACGTCCCAACGCGGCTTCTGCCAGGACCTCTTTCATTCCCGTTTATCCGCGCCCGCCATACTCTGGAAGACAGCACGGTGCTCACGGAATGGCTCAACATGCTATGCAGTGGAGGCGGGGCTTCGATAGAGGTGAAGCGATACATCCTGACTCAGAAAGCGCAAGCCTGGAGTATACGCGGGATGTCCTCGCCCTCCTCCTTCAAGATCTAGAGGGTATGGTACGGGACATGGGATCCATGACTGGGCAGGGAAACTGGATTCTCCGATCTATGCTGGTGCAACTGCAGATCAAACAGAATAGGTCATTGCCGAAGGAGAGTACGTTTGCTGACTGCGTGTTTGGGGCGGATATAGGGAGACGGCTCGGAGGTCGATGAATTGAACCTCGGTTTGCTCGAGTACCTGGTCATCAAGGGCCTTGAGACAGCTTTCCCAGGAGGGGTTCTGTGTAGCTATATTGATCCCTCCCTTGGAGTAATGGCAAGCATATTCTGGATAATGACATAGGACTGCACAGCCAGGCTGCGTTTCACCGGTAGAAGCCACTCGTGACTGGTCTGGCGGAAACAATCTCCTCAACTCATTGGGGATGTGTGCTCTATAGCCCTTTAAGCAATGCTTGATTCCTCCATTTCCGGATTGTCTCGACTTTCCAGCCTCCCACATACGAACCTGTTACTAATAATCATCGGACCATCGTTCTCGCATCTCGGGAGTGATGCTTGCAGCTGTATGGGCAAACTCGGCATTGAGCCAGGAGTCCCAGTCCCAATCAATCCATTCTAAAAATGCATATTTTTTGGCTTTGGTTTTCTTCCACCGAAGGAGGGGTGAAATGTATTGTCCCAAAAAGTTGTTCGATTCTAACGCAATAGGATCATCTCGCCTGCGGTTGAAAAGAGCATCTCCAAAGTCAATGAACACAACACGGAGCTGATCGCTCTCTGGTGCACTTATGATGACATTTCGCTGCTCGAGATCGATGAGCCAAATGTCCTTCTCGTAGATCCGGCTTTCAAAGTCCACAATCGACTTCAGAATACTTTGGCGAACTGCCTGGGGAAATTTTCTGGGTTCAGCATCCGCCATGGTGATTCCTTGGATATGCTCGACCAGAATCATTCGAACTGTCCGTGTGTGGACTGAATCGACAGATAAACTTAAGGAGTAGGACCCATAGTATCTCGGGATCCCTTGACCTTGAAACTCGTTAAGAGCGATATATGCATTGGCCTCATGAGTGTAGGATCTGTCCATGCAAAGGAATGGGTTGAGGTACCCATCGCCATCGTTGAAGTAGAGAGGGTCGTATACTTTTGCGACCAGTCGTGTGCCTTTTGGAGGAAGCATCTGGGATGTTGACTCAAAGTCCAGTAATCGGACCGTGAATACCTGAGCATTGTGGCCATCGCCTCCTTTCAAGACATCAATGACCTCTAGGCTGACAGTATCGTTTCCTTCTTTGCCAGGCAAAGGGGGGTGCTTTAGACATCGGTCGATTGGACTCAAATGCATTCTTTCCTTCCTGTCTTCTTTACTGTTGATGCAGCAGTCTCGCACCACTGGCGTTGGGGCCGAAGCAGTGTGAGATTTAATAGTGAATCCCCACCCAGGAGTATATGGCACCGGAGGCTTAGGGAGCTCTGTTGATGGAGGCCCAAACGTGGGCGAGTCTGATTGGGAGAAAGTCATAACAGTATGAGACTGTAATAACCTAGTCCAGTTACTTTTCTGTGAGAACGAAGACCAGTGCTGGAGGTTGGGTGGAGAGGGATGGAACTGAAAGGGAGGAGGGCCGCTGCGACCCGGATATCCGGCATATTATTTCTCCGAGTTTTGTTGACGACTCTTTAACGCGTGTAACCGCGCGCTATCTTTATATAGATATATAAATATAATCTGGTTGACCCTGGTGGTTTTGTTAGTACAGTGGGACTCGGAGCTATCCTGTAATAGGTAACGAGGTTTTTTTCAAATAGATGACTGCCTGCTCTGATAGGTGCAGTCTTAACTATTAAGAAGATCAGGAGCAAGACATTGGCCAGAAACCAATACACCAATTACATGATCCCTGTATAGTGGGTGAATAAAAAACATACAAAACCACCCGGGTCAACCAGAGTCATTATGTTTATAGACACACGCTCCAATCGCCAGTAACATCTAGTCGCCATATCGTAGGCCGGCGCCATGTGCGTGCCTGGTCGAGGACGACATTTGTGCTAATAATAGGTAACAACGCACACGAGACACTCAAAGTGCCAGGCGGCAAGACGAGACTGTGAGGTATATAGATAGATTCTCATAGTCTCATCTCCAAGACCGATTCATAGTACGTCAAACTATCTCGATTGATATTCTGCTTTCACGCCCCTTTTGAGGCTACAAGTTCTGCCATCATGGACCCATCATCGTCAACAATCAGCAGGGCGTTCGATGAAAAATTACCCATTGAACCCGCTGTGGCAGTTGTCTCCAATGGACCGTACCGTCCTATTCGAAGCTCTGCTTCGTCTACCCTCCGGGAAGACCCAGTAGCTGTCTATTTTGAAGAGTCCATCGATACCTATCATAACTTATTTGATCGGAATTTCCCACGTATTGGCCATGCCAGTCCGCTATCCGCCAGAATGCCAATCCTGGAACAAACACATCAACTGGATACGGAAGCCGATGTTATGCGGCTTGCCACCCTACAGCTTATCCATCCCGTCAACATCGCACTGCAGCAGATATGCCCACCTGGCACACGAATACTTTGTCGCTCAGAGAGATCCACCGGCGGTACGAGCCGCTTCGACATGGAATGGTCTTTACACGACTCTCGGGGTGCTCTGCTGTCTAAGCTTGCTATCCTAGAGGTCAAAAATACCAATGTTATATACAAAGATGACTTCAAGAGCGCCGCTGTCGACGAGAGAAACTTTCGGTCGAAGATGGCGAAGGCTGTGAATGAAGAAAATTCAACCCTTCTTCAGCGCAACGCTTTTTGGCTCTCCAAGCAAGCCCGAAAGTATGCGGAACACTGCCCCTATGTGGCGCTATTTGACTGGAACGCTATGTTCCTTTTCAGCTTTCTGCCGCAAACACCCCAGCCAGTGCGTGGAATCTACTTTGATGAACGTGGACGCACGGGGGGCATGACATTCCGTCGCCTTCTTTTTGCCTTTGTAGTTCGGCCACTGAAGAGCTACGAAGCGACCCGTCTGCGTACTGGACGATAGGGCGGTTCAATAGGAGGACTGTATCCTCTGCATATCTCTTGCACAATACTTTTTTATTTTTGCCGAAGCATATAGCAGAAGTACAGATATTTTGTTATACTCTATTATGTATATGGTAGGAAGCCTTGCAAGCGCCTTTTGTACTCCAGATATGAAGAATTTTGTCGGAGGTATCCCTAAGTATAATCAAACGTAAGAGGGTTAAAGTATATAATCCTAATTCTAGTTGAAATAGTACCGCCTCTGTTAATGATATATTTTAGTAGTAGTATATAGGAAAGACTTGCCAATATTCTTCCAGTATCATCCCAGCCTCGTTGAGCACGCATATGGCAAAGAAGTGGTTGTATGTCTACCTAGTTGTCCGTAGTCTGCCAATATCTCCCTGTCTCGTTCAACGGCTCCCCCCACGGCCTAGCATATCAACCAGCTTCCAGCCAACTCGATTCGCTTCATCCGAGGAACCGTCCGAGAAAATGCACCGAGCCAGGGATACTTTTGTCGACTGATCGAATACGACACTGATCCCCTTGAGCCAGATGACCGGAAGAAAGTGGTCTCCACGCCAGAATTGGGGATGGGATTTAGTTCCGCGGAATGAGTGGGGAAGGTGGGCTAATGATGGAGGGCATTGTCTTTTTTACTGGGTTGTTTGACTTGCGAGTATTCCAAGAGGGGGAATGCGTTTATGTTTCTTGCAATATATACTAGTGCTGACAGAAGTTGCCATATGACAATAAATGCGCAAGACCACATCTTTAGTTGTCCCCGCAAAATGTGAAGAGTTATCCAAGCGAGTGGATCGCATCAGATTACCACAATCGCAACGTACATCCACTCAACGCCTAATGAGATAGCCTCTATATCATCTACTTAAACTATCATCCACATTGCCGACCCAACAGCAAACGCACCCACCAGCCAGTTCAACCCCTCCCGGTATGCCGCAGAATTAGACTTGCTCCCCAACACCAGGTTCGGCTCATAAGTCAGGGGCGTCTTGCTATCCAATGTCCCATTCCAGCAATACGACTTAAAGCAACTGTTACACACCTCCGGCATGGACGTGTTAGTCCGATGCATCGACCGCTGCAGAATGGCGCACCCCACACAGGTCGGCCAGGACTTGTCGACAGTTCCATTTCCCCGCGTCACCACGTTATACCCATTCGTGATGATCTCGTCGCGCTGGGAATCATTGTACGACAGCTGGAAGGTAGAGGTGTTGCTGTGCGCGCTGTAGGGCGCATTCGGCAGGTATACCACCAAGGGCGCTGGCGCGGACAGATTCGCTGGATCGCACCCGAAGAAGGTCGGTCGGGTGTTCAATCCCAGGTTGATAAAGGTGTTGACGTCCGGCACAGCGGGGAAGACGGTTCCGTTGCCGATTCCCGAGCTGTTCAGGCTTCGCTCGTAGGTGGCGACCAGCGAGGACCCGTTCGGCCAGCTGTACTTCGTGTCGGCCGAGGAGTCGACCGCGAAGATTACGTCGACGTGACGGGTGGGCTGGATGAGCGGGTGCAGGGGGATATTCTGGTGGTCCTCGCCGCCGTCGACGACGTCGAGCTCGCGGCTCTTCGAGTACGATGCGGTGGAATTGCGATATCCGTAGAACGGGCTGGGGGCGTAGACGGCGATGTCGTCGCCGTCCTGGCCCAATGCGGTGAGGATCTTGGAGAAGGCATTCTTGACCACGTCTGGGAGATCGGTCCCGTTAAGCCGTAGGATGAACTGGTTGAAGAGCGAGGAGGAAGTGCCCATGACGAAGCCTGCATTGTCAAACCCACGGACGCAGGATTCGCTGCTGGGAAGCTGGCCGTTGTCGAAGCGCGAACCGAGATATTCCAGTGGTGCGAAGCCGAAGATGGACGGGTCAAACGAGCCAAACTCCCACGGGTTGAACTCATAGACGGTTGAGTTGCTGCCGATCAGAAGCTCGCCTGGGTTGCGGCCGTCTGCGACCAGAATGGGGAGTGGCATCTCTCCGCGCTGGAAGTTGTCGGTCAACGCGATGGACGACCAGGTGAAGTTTGGCCCGCCCCTCCCGGCCGGATCGTTGATGAACTGGTAGGACAGCGCGCGACCCCAGTAGTCCGTTAGCGAGGTGTTGAAGCCCGCGTTGCGTTTGCCGTCGACTGCTTCGAGCAAGTGTTTCCAGTAGTCGGCTGTGGATAGGAACTGCAGGTGTTTCGCCTTGGGGCCTTCGAGGATAGACGTGGAAAACTGCCATAGGTCGCCAGTGCTGCCTCCAGATTGGAGGTCTGAGATGGTCGTAAAGTTGTTCAAATACACGGAGCCCACGAGCCATCCTCCTCCGCTCAGTCCGGATACATAAGTCGCAGACTGTAGTAGACCTCCGAGCTGCCCAGACTCCGTTGAGCCTTTTGTTCGGTTGTCAAAAGCTTTTATAGCTCCAGCTCCATTAGTCAGAGCCCGGTATCCACCCCCGGAGACAGCGATTGCGATATTAGGCAGATTAGATGCGTTACTGGACACGCGGTCGATGTAGCTCGCTGCGTCAAAGGAGGTGAGGTTGAGTCGCCCAAGCAGGTCCTTCATGGGCTGAACGGTGTTGTTGCGACGAGTCTGAAGCCAGGCGGTTTCATTCGGAGAAAGCGACCCTGCACCACGAATGCTGGGTCGTTTCGCCGGACAGGACACATTCGCCGGTGTATAGCCATCTGGAGCATTTGGGAGGGCTCGGATAGACAAGTCGAGCGGAGTTGCCGTACTTACGGCTAGGGCCGTTAGAAGGGTGAATATGGCCTTCATATCGATGCGTCTGATATTTCGAAAGAGAGAACATTGGCACCTAAGATTGACGTAGTAGATATACTCGGTTCTCGGGCTCATAACATACTTCCGGGCCAGCCGTAAAGCAATCATCGACCCATCTCCAGATGGACCCTCTCCGCGAATCGGATGGCTGCTGACAACGGACAATGGAACTTCCAGAACAACTGCCAATCATCCAGGGCTCGGGGTCGCCGGGAATGTGGGTCATGTAGGGCTGATTTCCAGCGGATTTGTTGTTGTCACAGCTGGGCATTAGGCACTAACATTTCCCATTTACTGCTTCGGGTCATTTTTGTGCATTGTCTAGGCAGCACTATTCAACTGCATTCAACTTCGGCCCCTTTTTGTCTCCACACTGCAGAACTAGGAGCCAGTTATAGAATGTATCTGAATCCGGGATTCCCCACTTCATGTTCCCTCTCCTCCAACCTCTTATTCATCCTGTAATGCACCATCCGGATTACCCAGGCCAGCACTGCCACCAGAACGGCTACCACTGCTGTCGCACTGCCCCCGGGAACATATCGCGGTCCAGAAGATGAAGGCCACATATAGCTGCCATAGATTGTCGCCGTGTTCCCGATCATATTGGCCGTCGCGATAGCTGCCGAGCGCTTGACCAGCGGACGGGGGAATGAATTGGCTACCCAGGCGATGATGATTTGGTACGCTGACACAGCGCCCATGGGCATCCTGCCATTGTCAGCATATCTTTTGGTTCATCAGATGTAAGCAGCGTACAGAAACATGGCAAAAAACCTGGCACCGATGTTGGTCGTGGCTGTGCAGATGATACAACCCACTGCACTCACGCTCATCAACCCCACGATGTGCCAGCTGCGATCGTTGGTCCGTCCAGACGTCCAGGTCACCAACAGAGAGACAAGGAACGTGGCGATCCACACGGGCGCAGTGATCAGCAGGGTCTCGATGCTCCCGTAGCCCAGTGTCTTGACAATCGTCGGGAAGAAGTACTGGAAGGTCTGCGAGAGAAGTGAGCTATGCTGTAGTAGAATAAAGAGGTAGATTCGTCGGTCCCGGAACACCATCGCCAGCGCGTCTTTGATGCTGACAGCGTTTGTATCATCGGCCTCGCCGGCATCATTGATGAGGCGCCACTGAGCATAGGCTTGTTCGGTCTCGTCCAGCCAGGAGGTGGTCGCCGGGTAGTTGGGAAGACAGACGGTCGAGAAGAGCGATACGCCGACTGTGATGCTGCCCTCGATGATAAACAGCCATCTCCAGCCCGCAACTCCGTGTACCCCGTCCAGATTGCCCAGGACACCGGCGCCTATGAGGCCGCCAAACGCGTTGGCCAGGGAGCTGCCGGCGTAAAACCAGGCAATTCGATGGCTCAGCTACTTTGATTAGCGTCTTTCTCCATGGCAGAAACTGCAGCCATACCTCCTGCCTTGTATACCAACTCGACCTACAAAATCAGCTACATGCATAATAAGCTTGAGGTGTATACATACATCAACATGATCGCCCCCGGAAAGAACGGTGCCTCCACAAACCCTAGGAAGAACCTCGCAAGAACCAAGCCCGTAAAGGAGGTCGCTGCCGCCTGACATGCGGATATAATACCCCTGACTGGTCAGACCGAACCGACGAACCGAGAGGGAACCTACCAGATCGCCATCGCTCCACCCAGCAGCCAGGACGGCCTCACACGCGTCAGCAGCAGGTTAGACGGCAGCTGCATGAGCAGGTATCCGACGAACAAAATACTTGTCGCCAAGTTGAAGTCAGTCCCTGCCATCCCCAGGTCTTTTTCCAATGTACCAAGCCGGGCTTGTGAGAGATTACTTCAGAAACAGTCAGCTTGATTTCACGTCGATGCAAGGAACATACTTTCGATCCAGGAAGTTCAGCAGATACATCACCACCAGGAAGGGCAGGAGATGCATATCCACCTTTCGGAGTAAGCGTCGAGTCATCTGCTGGTGCCATTCGGGGCCCTTGGAGGCGTACGCCTCGTACAGAGCGTCCGAGGCATTCTCCAATTTTGTCTGCGTGAATTCTATCTGTTCAGTCGGTGATTTCGACATGTTGTCTGTCGAGTTGGTTGCTGATAGCGGTGGCCATCCTTGTCTTAAGCTGGACTACTTAAGAGTATTATGATCCCGGAAGATGTCCGAGATCAACATCACCACCAAACAAGCTGACAATGCGGGGATGCGGGGATGCGGGGCCGGGGTAATGCAGTCCGAGTAGATTTTGCTTTGTACAGTGATCGTGGGTTCTTAAGTAAACCCAGAATGCGAGATCAGTCTGGCGATCTAGCCCTTTTTGCCAGTAAGGCTCGCCTCGTCTCGGAGTTGGTCCCGCCCCTCACGGCCAGAAATCCGTACTTAGCTGAACAATCTACGACCACGTCAGAGGACACATGCATTATCCCGGCACCTTGTACACGATGAGCCGATTCTCCCCTATGGTAAGTGAAGCTGGAATCGCCGTCAGTACCAGCCTGACAGCTCCAGCTCAAGGCGATTATCCTGAGAGGTAGTTGTAGTAATTTGATCTCATATGCAAGATCCATTACGGCAACTGGACCATGATATTATACGCATTTGCGGTCTCGGATAACAATGGCGGGATCGACTCCTAGACTGCGTGTTGGAGTACGTCTCATGGCTCCGAAGAATGCTGGCATCCAAACCCTTGGCCACATTGGAGACATTGAAAGGGTTCCATTTTGAGTCTAACAGATCAGCATATATTCTGGGATGTCGTCGGAAACTACTTACGTGATCTTCTGGGCTCTATAACCCTGGTTAGGCGGCGAAGCTCTTGGGCGAGGAGCAACAAACCTACAGATGATCGAGTTTTTTATATAAACTTGTTGCATCTCCCACAGTGCGCTATGTCTTCGAGGCCCCGGTGGATTGCATAGAAGCTGCTAAATGAGCTACATCTCTCAAGCCGGACCTACCTAGCTAAAGTATTCCCCCGGGACTCTGTGCCCTATAATAGACCATAGAATTGCACTTGATTCATCACCTTAGTTTCTCTACATATACCACAGCAAAAGTAATTCTTATCCATTCATTTCACAGGTATGTTGAATACCTAGTACCCGACGATAGCAAATATCCAAAACCCTGAGAAGAACTCAAGTCCAATCTCCCTTTGTTATGCTGGTCATCCTCCTCACTCAGCAGCATCGCAAATCTAGGATCAAAAGCACCACTGATAGCTCGACGAACAGACATGGCAATCACTATATGTGCGACACAAAGCATGGGTATGACAGCGAGGGTGAGAGCAAGAAGCAGCCGCATTATCCGCCCTAGGAGCAACATCGGCCTCATCGTCCAGGTTACCGGCATGTAATTTTCTCGCTTCTTCCATGGAGGCGTCTAATTCCTCGCATAGGGAATCAGACGTAACGGCTAGCACAGTGGCATCATGGTCGAGCAGGTAGTAGCCACCGTTTCTATCGTCCAGGGTTCCCATCGGATATTGGTCTGCCATGTCGTTGAGTTGCTGGCGGGTTTCGAGGACAGGTATTCCCTCCGGGATAGGCACGGTGTATCTGGTTGTAGCCATGGCGAGAGTGCTGGCGATGAGAAGGGAGAGAATGCTAATGATGTTGATCCTCATTGCTGATCTAAGTCAATGTAAATTTAGAGAAGAGGATTCGGAGCAAGTATGTTGTCTCACTAGACTGAGGGATTCGCAAGTAGTTCAGGACAATGGAAAACCTGGTATTGCGAGGAGTTTGGACTCTCGCTCCCCTGGCCTTTATAGTCAGAAAATACCTTGATCAGGCCACCCATGAACGTCGTATCTGAATGAGCGATCACTGTAAAAGTGAGTCAAAAACCAACAGAAGCAGGGTAAAGCATCCAATCCAAGGGTTGAATACCGGTTGTTCATTTATGGACGGCTCTCTACGGAGAATCTAAGCCAGTGCCAAGTTCACTAGATCTGCCAATATCCAACAAGAAATGCAGTAGCGTCTGGAGGATCCCAATGGGACAGGGATGTCCAAGCAAAGATCTTACATTGGACGATAATGACCGGCTTTAAGCCGGTTGCTTCGCCTCGGATGTAACCTCATTATCAATAATTACCTCAGAGGGCATATAGTAGTATGTAGTGAGGCAGGGTCGCAGGCATTGTTCCTGACAGCCCTTGATCATAATTCTAGCTGAGGCTCTAGCTGTTAGATAATGCTCTCATGCATTAAGATCTTACTAATTATGTTAATTCCTGTGTTATCTGATTTTATATCTGGTAGAATATACAGTCACCCGCAGAGATGAATTTGCTTCCGTGTTTCTCATCTTCTTGGGAGAGACTATTTATCAGAAAAGAGTTTGAATAACGTTTCTGGTAGAGTCAATCTAGCTGTAGTACTTTAGCATTAGCTAACCAGAATACTGCGAGCACTGGTGTACACGGTTCTTTTCCTTGATCCTCCAGCATATAGAGAGTATGTAGCTTCCATTATTTATTAAAGAGGAGGCCCGTTATAGAGGAAAAGAAAAATATATATGGCCATATATATCGACTGCTAAGAAATGTGTTGCGTACGACATTCGCTTCAGCAATCAAAAGATATGGTAGCAGTCGGAGAATATCAAGTCTAGAGAAGACAAGGAAAATAATGGACACAGAGAGAATTGTATAACTGACAAGATTTGCGGGGCAATCCTCCAAAGTAATCAAACAACCCCGCTAGGTAGACCGGGTGCAGGGACAGAAGGCTCGAAACAACGGCAGCAAAGGTGACGATAGTAGGGGTCATCACATTGCGAACAACAAATCTATCGGTATAAACTCCCAAACATACAAGTATAGACAAGATCACTAGAATCACATCCAAAGGCCTCGAAATGTCCTACACCAGCTGGTATAATTCCTCATGCGACGAAGAAGCGACATCGGTATTTTCAGTGACCCAGAACTACGAAGGCATATGGATGATACATTAACCAAAATCCAGAATAATTTCGTCAAATATGAATGCTCACCCTGACGAAGAAAAAAGTGCCTTCCAGCCGTTGTGCTGATTGTTCTCTATTGGCATTCTCATATCTTTGCAGCGGGATATGAAAGGGCTCGAATAATGAAGAATGGCGATGACGGTGGGATGGATCGCTCGTTGAAGACAGCGGAAGATAAGATCGGCTGATTGTATCATTCATCTGGGAGCCAGGAGTATAGTTGAGTCGGTCATTCTCATGATTCTCTTCATTCGGTCGGCGATGGACTACAATATCAATAAAGAATTAGAACTACCCCACAAAGATAAATAAGCATCGGAGACTAGGATCGTACCATACAATGCTGAAGCCAAATCTTCGGGACTGGTTCCTCGGCTCCACCACTGCCGGAGCAGTCGTCTGTTGTGGACCGCCAACCGAATGCCAGGAACACAAGCAATGAATAGAGCGACKAGAGCAATTATCGCCTCGGCTGATAAGGTCATTGTGGAAAACGGCGGACAAGGACACTTATCACACTGTTACAAACTGATTCAGTAACAATATGATGAGAATTGAGGATGATGGCAGCATTCCTTCGACTATATATACGCAGGGCTGGAGTTGACGTTTCTGTTCCAGACAAGATATCCTGCTAGTACTGTGCAGGAGGCGCATCCCGCTAATTGTCTAACTGTCCCACAACTTATCACTGCGCTCACTGGCTAAGCATGTGCTGAGTAAGTAAGATAGTTCGGTGTTTTCGGATATAATGTCAACACTGCCACTCGACGTCCCCAATGATTGGACGATAGATGGGGTTTCTAAGATTTATGCTAGCTCTATACGATGATTCTGGTTGATGACTGGAAGTCCATACCTGCGCTAATATAGGAATAGTCATACTGTATTCCGTCCTCTGCCTCAAACTCCACTTTGCTTTGCCTGTCTGTGGCGCGTCTGGAGATAAGTTAACCCAGCTCCCTGTGAGCATCAGGACAGTAAGCTTTAAGACTGATATTCACTCCTACCTTGTATCCCATCCTTTACCTTCTCCTCGAATAATTATCGGAAATCTGACAATATTTTACTAAAATTGGAGGGTGTGAAAATAGGGCAGGATTTCACCTATGTATTCTACCCATTTTCTCCATTATTCCTCACTCTAAACCCTTTTCGACCGTTCTGCCAAGCCAGTGTCACCTCTCCCGCTTGAGCTACCTAGCTCAAAGGCAGCCTCATCGTCTGGAAGGCCATAGTCTCGATAATCGTATATTTATTATCATCAGTATTTCTGATTTGATCTTCCTTCCCCTGGTCACGCACGACTTGGCTACTAATATATCTGATCTCCATTCTTATGATGTTCTATTAAATCCAGATTCGTATTTATTTAGAACCCCTAGAATACTCTCTAGCGGTCTAGCCCCCTATCTCACATTTTTTATTAATTCATAACCTTAACATCTATAGTAGTTAGTTTAACGGGAAGCTTATATGTTCCAGGGAAAGCTGCTACTCAATAGGGAAGTTATAGATGTTTATAATCTATAATCCCACTGGGAGTAAGCTAACTTATTTCCCTCATTATAATACTGGAAGCCTTAATGCTAATTCAAGGCCGTTCTGTTCAAGGGGTATTTTGGAAAAGATCTCCTAGCTGCAATACTTGCAGAGTTGATAATAGGAGAACACTTTGCAATAAAAAAGGTGCAGAGCAACACAAAGAAACTGATGTTATCTAGCCGATTGGAAGAGCTGGATTATCCTCCAAAAGTATTCAAAAAATCCATTGCTCCAGGGGTGATCAAATCAAAGCAAGCCAGAATATGCTGGTCCTGCTGAAAGGGTTGATTGTCCTTCTTCCAGTCCTAATACTCTGTCCAGAGTCAACGCCCCGGCCCAGATGCTAGCTCCTAGACTTACTGATAGATCACGCATCACTAATGATGGCCAGGGTGATCAAATGGAGGTGCTCCCTCCGCATGGAAGGGTTGGTTAGTAGTAGTATTCACTATCATGTGGCCAATAAGGGTAGGCATTTTGGAAATGGAGACTAAGAACAGACCGCTCCTGTCCAGATGCCACGCCCAAAATACGCAGGGACACAAAGCTTTCTACAATGCCTACTTCATGTACCACCTTCCGGCATGGTTGCTCTGTCGAGGACTTTACCCATATGCAGTGACCGCGTCATTACCGCCCTAATGTCTCATGAGGCACTGTAAAATATTAACTCGGTGATATGCGTTCCCTCTTCAGCGGGCAGGCACGGTCCCTTTGGCATCGAGCTTCTTCAAAACCATCAAACACCCTGCCAATCTGCAATAGATAATCGAGAATCTTTATGTACTCAATCAACATCGATATAGACATCAGAGTGGCCCATCAGTGACACAGCCGTGGCTGGCGTCACTGACAAGATCTGCATACTTCTTTAGAGTACCTTTCTTTGCTCGAGATTCAGGCGCCTTCCATTCCTTTTTCCGTTTCTCCATCTCTTGGGGGAAGATATCCAGGTCAACCACTCTCTTCTCTGCGTCGATAATCACCCTGTCCCCATCTTTGACCAGGGCGATGGGACCGCCCTCCATTGCCTCAGGCACAATATGACCAATTAGGAATCCATGACTGCCTCCGGAGAAGCGGCCATCCGTAAGAAGGGCGACATCCTGACCCAGACCCGCACCCATGATGGCGGCACTGGGCTTGAGCATTTCCGGCATACCAGGACCACCCTTTGGACCTTCATATCGGATAATGACAACGGTCTTCTCCCCATTTTTGATTTCTCCCCGTTCAAGAGCCTCAATAAACGCGTCTTCATAGTCGTAGCACTTGGCAGTGCCTTCAAATCGCAGACCCTCTTTACCAGTTATCTTCCCAACGGAGCCTCCAGGTGCCAAGGACCCACGCAGAATTTGAAGGTGACCTGTCGGCTTGATGGGGTTGCTCAGCGGCCGGATGATGGGTTGATCCTCAGGGAAATCAGGCCAAGATGCAACATTCTCCTTCATTGCTTTGCCGGTCACAGTAATGCCAGACCCGTCAATCAAACCCTCCTTGAGCAGGAAGCGGAGTAGGGCCGGTGTGCCGCCGATCTTGTACAGGTCATGCATGACATACTTGCCAGATGGTTTTAGGTCTGCCAGGAACGGCGTCTTATCCGACACAGCTTGGAAATCATCAATGGTGAGCTTGATCCCCACGGACTGGGCAATGGCAATCAGATGCATAACTGCGTTGGTGCTCCCTCCCAAGATATTGACCACAATCATTGCATTTTCAAATGCTTGGCGAGTCAAGATATCCGAGGGCCTGATGTCTTCCTTCAAAAGGTTCTTGACCGTCTCTCCAATCTCTTCACATTCAGCTTTCTTGCGTGGATCTTCCGCGGGACAGCTACTGCTGCCCGGAACCGTAAGCCCGAGAACCTCAATAGCCGTGGCCATGGTATTGGCAGTATACATGCCACCACAGGCACCACTTCCTGGACACGCATGGCGAATGATATCAAATCGCTGTGCTTCATCAATCTGCCCACTAATATATTGGCCGTATGACTGAAAAGCACTGACCAGATCCAAAGTCTGGCCACCAGCGCTGCAACCAGGCTTAATACTACCACCATAGATCATAATACTAGGACGGTTGACCCGGCCCATGGCCATAACGACACCAGGCATGTTCTTATCGCAGCCCGGAAGCGAGATGTTCGCATCGTACCACTGCCCGTTCATGACCGTCTCAATGCCGTCCGCGATGATCTCACGACTTTGCAGACTGTATCGCATACCGCTGGTGCCCATGCTGATTCCGTCCGAAACTCCAATCGAGTTGAAACGCATGGGAACCAGTCCTGCCCTGGCAACCGAGTCGCGTACCAGCGATGACAGGTCCATCAAGTGCATATTGCAGGGGTTCCCCTCGAACCAGACCGAGGAAATTCCCACCTGGGCCTTGTTCATATCCGCTTCCTCCAAACCAGTCGCATATAGCATCGCTTGCGAGGCACCCTGTGACTTAGGTTGTGTAATCTTGGACGAAACTCTGTTCAATTTGGCATCGGCATATCGACGAGAGGTGGTAGAGAGGTGACGACTGTGACTGTTAAATTCGAGTCAGCTTGAGGTCCAAAATAAACAAGAAAATAAAAAGAGTCAAATGCATGATGAGATTGGTACTTGCCTATGGACTTGGTTTTGTAGATGCCGTTGACGGCTCAGCATTGGAGCTCTGGACTGAAGGGCCTGTAGAATCATGACAATCGTTCGTGAAGTTGAGAAAGCGAAGGAAGGGAAAGATCAATTCAGGTATTGCTGTCGTAGGTACGACCAATATTTCGATATCCAAAGCGCATATCCCGGTGGTTGACAGAGAAGTTAAAAATAATTGATGGATGTGGTCGCTGCCAGGGGATGACTCGGTCGGAATAGGAGCAGTCAAGCAGATGGGCAACTAGAGGGCTCAGGCCTTGAACATATCAGCAACCAATGGTTTCCGAGATATAAATCTCGATGCTCTGTCTCACCGTCAATAATATTCCTGTTATTGCAAGCAAGGAGCACTTGTTCGTCCAATCATCGCCAAGGAATGCCGTTGATACCTAAATTCCTGGACTCGCAATAGTCTTTTCGGAGAGAGGCGTCAAGTCCGGCGATCCACTAAGATGTTGTCTGCCGCTTAGCACGGGTACTAGTAGGTAAACTTGGCTTTACTTAGCATGTAAAGCTTCAGATTGACTTTCGGACCATTTCTGTGGAGTCAACGGAAAGAAAGCCGAATGGTCTTCCAACGGCGTTGGCGCCACTGGCTGGAAAGGTCAGAGTGAGATTGACGGACTCGTGTTTAGTTAGGCCGAAGCAGCACGCACACAAGTCCGGAGTGGAATATTGTTCCCCTTTTGACCTCTTCAGCTGAGAGCTTCAATAGGCATGGAAAGTAGATCGGAGGCAATCGCATGTCCGCCGAAGGCAATCTCCGATCCTCGCATGGCCAGGCAGCAAAACTTGTATTGCGTGTCACATCCAGCCGCTCATTCAGCAGGCTGGTAATAAAGTTAACCCAATACAAATTCTATCCCCCCTTCTGATCTTGCGTAACCCGTCGACATCCCGTCCGAACCGGCGGCAGACTACGAGCGACCGCGGGAGAGGGTATGTCTGCGGGGCAGCGAGTCGGGAGGATATCTCTCGACAACCAACACTGAACTTGATAGTCAGTTTTCGGCATTGGATTGTCATGGAGATATATACTGGGGATTACCTCCAAGTTGAGACAGCATGAATGCGAGCAGCAATTTTGAAAAAGCACCGCCGATAACCACCACCGGAACCTCATGCAATACTTCGTCGTTTGTCAGGAATAGCGGCATGATGGCTTGAAAGTTCAGTTGCTCGACAAATCAATTCCACACGGTCACGTCTCATGCAGCTGCGCTGTCCTTCCTATGCTCAACCTGTCTAATAGAGAATTATTGGATGAGTGGGATTGCGGAGAGCTCTGAAATTTTGGGAAGCGTCCAATGTAACCGACATCAACTATCTCAGAAAGTCACGAGCTTCATATTCAGTACAGGAAATTTCAATATGAAGATGATGATTCGGCAGTATGACCTCTACTAGTTTCTTGCAGGATCAAGCCAGGTGGCCACATTGCTGGTGGCGGCACCTCTTCTGCTGGACCCGGTACAGTTGCACATTTCCAATATATCGCTCCCATCAGGATCCATTGCGATAATTTGTCCGCTTAGCTACATTTAGGCTGGGATTACAGATATGATTAGAATACATTCATTCTGTGATTCCGTAATAACGCTTTGATCCGTCTGGCCCTGGCCCAAACAAACCAAGACAACATCAGACGGACATCCCTCCACTTTGGGCAGCACAGCACGAGGGAGTGACAGTGTTCATGGTCCATGTAAACCAGCAATGCATTCAATCCAAGAGAGAGATAGCATCCGTAGCTGATCGATCCATGGGAAGACGTCGGCATCGCTGTCGTATGCTCTAAGGGAACCACCGGGGCAAATAGTCGCCCCAACCCCAGTAGTTCTGGGCGCTCAAAGGATGAGCAGCACAATGGCGTACATCTTCGGGACTCACGCCTTCGGGGAGGTCGTCCGGATCATAGTGCATAATTCCTAGGCGTCCACACTCTTCTTCGGTGGCGCCTGGGGCGGGAAGAAGAACACCCCATGCGATGGAGGTCGATCCGAGGAGTAAGATGAGGGTATGAGGGAGCTTCATGCCGATGCTTTCCTAGATCTATAGCAAACAGTCAATACCTCTCTATCCTGTAGGTGAAATGGAAAAGTGAAGACCCTACTTAATATTGATTCGGGGTATTGACTTTCGTTGAAGGCAAGCTGTAACGAAACTGAACAGAAATCGAGACGCAGGGTTATCTATACCTTTCTACTGCTTGGATATTATAACAAGTTAATTAGTTGAGGACACATGGCAAGCAGATCCTCCATGCGTAACATTGACTCATTGGTTGGGTTTCTCTACTACCTGATTGGGTGCTCAAGCACGGGGCGGTGCAACACTAAGGCCATTAAAGGTAACCCTGATCATGGTTAGAAGCTAAGATAGGTTAATAGACCAAAGACTAGGCAGATACATATTTTTTTGGGCTGCCCAAGACCCTGGCGGCCGCTAAAAGCATTGGGACTCTGAGACTTCCGACGTCACATCATGCCTCCTTTACTAATCTGCCGCGTACGTACTGTTTCTACGGTAATGCCTACTCCAATTGGGCTTGGTAATAATAAATGGAGAGGTATCTCTGTCACTGGCCGGTTATACTCGTCTGATAGCGTACCCAGACTGGCGCTAGATTGCCCGGTCAGCCGGGTATAACTCGCTATTTGGATGCTGTCGTGTGCCCATTTCAACCCATCCCTGCAGCGTCATATGGCGATACCAGGAGTATTCGACTAATACGGCGGACTAATGTACAAACTGGCCACATTTTTACTGTCACCTGCTTGTATTACCTATGGCCTCTTTCCCGGAATTTCCCTTCAAGTGAATGATTCCTACTGACCTTATATCCCTTCGCTTAAGCTGAAGCGCTTTATTCAGTTTCCCCTTTCAAGTTCAATATTTCATCATGTCGACGAGTGCGCCGACAGATCCCACGAGATGGCGTCTCGTTGTGGATAAGGGTGTTCACCAATGGCGATACCTTAGCGAGGTCGACTCGGCACGTCAACCACAGTTCACAGCAGAGAAATACTTTCTTGGATTACCCACGGTGCGTAAACTGTAATCTGTAACCAAGCTAATGCCGTGTTGGCTTACTTATCAAGGGATTGCCATCACTCCAAACCCCGCGCAACTTTCAGCAATCTGCTCTCAATGGCTTCCGATTTTATCAAAATCTCCAGCTGAATGATGGGCACTGGGGATGTGGATATGGTGGTCCCAGCTTTTTACTTGCCGGTATAGTAATAGCGATGTACATCACTGAGACCGAAATACCTCCAGAATGGAAGGCCGAGATTATTCGCTATCTCTCGAACACGGTCAACGAAGATGGTGGCTGGGGATTACACTCTGCTGGTGCCTCGACCGTTTTTGCAACGACTCTCTATTATATTACATTGCGAATCTTAGGCCTCCAGCCGAGCCACTCGCTCACCAGCAAGGCGCGCGCCCGTCTACATGCCCTAGGTAAGCGCATATATGCGTCTATACATGAACGGACCCAAGCTCATCCTACGGATAGGTGGTGCACTCGGGATTCCGCAGTGGGGGAAGATCTGGATGGCACTGTTAAATCTTTACAGTTGGGGCGGAATTAATCCCATCCCCCCTGAATTCTGGTATGATAACCCCTTCAATATCGTTGCTTGTCAATGATCACATTGATAACGCTGGTCATGAGCTAGGTTACTTCCCGATTGGATCCCGTTCCATCCGTGGCGTTGGTGGGTTCAATGCCGCGTGGTCTATCTCCCTGTTTCATACCTATACGCAAACAAGGTTACGATACCGTTAAATCCCCTCATTGCTAGCCTCCGCCAGGAAATCTATACGCAGTCATATGAGGATATTCGCTTTGAGAAATACCGGGATACCGTGGCTCCTACTGACTTGAAGAAGCCACCTTCCGGTCTCCTTCGCGCTGCTAATACGTGCTTGCGTTTCTGGGAGCGATATATTCGGCCAGACTATATTGCTCAGTGGGCTAACGAGCAGGTATATGCATTGATCCAACGAGAAGACCAGAATACATCCTATAATTGTTTGGCTCCAGTCAACAAAGCTTTCCATATGGTGAGCGTGTGGTACTCAGACGGTGCTAATAGTTCGCGCATGCGTCGTCATCGCGAGAAGATAGCGAGCTACATGTGGGTTGGCGAAAAGGGGATGACCTGCAGTGGGACGAATGGAGTCCAAGTCTGGGATACAGCGTTCAGCATTCAAGCTATGGTTGAGGCTGGAATTGCTATGCTGCCAGAGTTTCGTCCGACACTCGAAAAGGCCTTGGAGTACTTGGACATCTCTCAATTAAGGGAAGACTTGGCCGACGAATACCGTCAGCCTCGGAAAGGTGGCTGGCCTTTCAGCACACGGAACAATGGTTATATTGTATCGGATTGTGCTGCGGAAGCGCTTAAGGCCGTATTAATGCTTCAAGAAGAGTGGTAGGTTTAATTACCTTACCTTGGGGAGAGGCTTTGCTTCTAATTCATCTCAGCCACTTTGACAAGATAATCTCCGATGACCGTCTGCAGGACTGTGTCGACAGTCTACTGCTAATGCAGAATCCCGACGGTGGATTTAGCAGTTACGAACGTACTCGATCCAGCACTCTCCTCGAATATCTCAATGCGTCGGAGGTTTTTGACCGTATTATGGTTGAGTATTCATACCCTGAGTGCACTACGGCAGTAGTCACAGCCTTGTCACTTTTCACTCGTTACTTCCCCAGCTACCGGCCTACTGAAATCAATGGAGTCATTGAGCGCGCGGTGAGATATGTTATAAAAGCACAACGGCCTGATGGAAGCTGGTATGGATCATGGGGAGTGTGTTTCACCTATGCATCGTTCTTTGCCATGCAATGTCTGGAACTGGTCAATCAGACATGGCAAAATAGCAGTAACGTCCGCAAGTGCTACAAATTTCTTCTCAGCAAGCAAAAGGAAGACGGTGGTTGGGGCGAACATTATACGTCGTGTGAGCGAGAAGAGTACATTGACCATGAGCAAAGCCAGGTAGTAAATACTGCCTGGGCTTGCTTGGCACTCATGCACGCACGATATCCGTACAAAGAGGATATCGAGAAAGGACTTAAGGTACAGATAACTCTGTCTATGCCTCCAACTAATGGTCGGTGCACTCGGAGTAAGTGCTGACGGATACTCTGCAGTTAATTATGAGTCGGCAGCAGAGAAACGGCGAGTGGTGTCAAGAAGATGTGGAAGGCGTTTTCAACAATACATGGTGAGTAAAGGAAACTGGTATTGCAACTTGGCAGAAGCTGATTCTCTGCAATACAGCATGATCGGTTATCCCAACTACAAGCTCTATTTTACTGCATGGGCCTTGGGGAGATATAATAACGTGTACCTCCCCATGCTCGAAAGGGAAAGTTATGGATAGTTGTCTGTGCGTTCTGTTGCGGCCCGTCAGTTCACTTAAGGGGGAATTATTTTGCCAGGCTTATTGTCCAACTCCACTGGCGATACAGTCGGGGTTAAAACCTCATTCACATCCACATGAGACAAATCTTACCGCCAAGTCCTGATGCGGAGATGCCACAGTGCTAGCTAGTTCATATGTACTCGTCAGTCAACCCAAGCAGTCTGCAAAGTACATCCGGAACTCTTTTATATAAGATCTCCAGCCAGCGCAAGCCAGTGCACTCGACTGGAAGGCTGGTGTATGTAGGTTCAGAATGTCAATGTCCTTTACACTACTTCATTGATGGTAGAATTATCAGAATGCCAAATTGGTCCTGCTCTTCTCGGTAACGTAGTACTGTAAAAATAAGTTCTAACGCAAACTCGCTCGGACTGACCCTGGTTCCCTGCTATAGCATTGGGGATTCTCCACGTTAGGAGTATATCACAGAAACCATCTGTAGAAAGACTTTGAACGGCACATCCAAACTTCTCGGTAGCTTCTTTGCTGAGGTGTCACCGTAGGAGTGATTATTGTGACATGCTAATCCAAGCCAACAATCATATGCCAAGTGAGCCATGACATCATGGTTGATGTTACGTCTACGGTCTCACCAACCAACCAAAGGCCCCAGATCTTACTCCATACACCACTTTCCTCTATCTAAACTCAATCTACCCTGTTCCCGTCTACCCAATCGGACTGCACCACTCAACGGAAGCGGGTCAGGGACATCCACAATGACGCAGACCGCTGTGGGAGCTGATCAACCGCCGTACAGCGCTATATAACCCCTCTACCCTGATCTCGTCTTCGCATCCTCATTTCAACACTTCAAGAAAAATAATCATTATTAGAAAAGAAAATGGACAAATTATCTGGTCTCGCCTCCAAGCTCGGTGGAAGCAACTCCGCATCCGCCAACCAGACTCAGGGACAGCCACAGGGCCAGAGGGAGGATTACGTCGACAGGGGTAACATACACACAATCCTTACTGAATGGATTGATGGACGTTCGCTGATTGTACAGGCCTCGACTACGCTGAACAGCGCGTCGGCGGCGGCAAGGTCGATTCTGCCAAGATGCGGTCGACGAATGAGAAGATCACCGACACCGCTAGGGAGAAGTTTGAGAAGGCGACTGGGTATGTTCATCCCCTTCATGTAGAGTACAATGGCTAACTAAAGCAGACGCAAGGTTCCCGAGAAGATCTCTAACTGATGGTATGGGTAATTAAATATGACTTGAGATGTGATATATCCTGTCAATAGCGAGAAACAAGGCTAGAAACGCTTCTTCACAAACGAATTCAGTATCCCCTCAATAGCCGACCCGCCTCCCCGGGACGAATACTGCGTAAGTAGCATGGTATACGTGCGACACGTCTGCATATTTGTCTGCACCACCGCCGGAACGGCCATGCCCGCCATCTGGTACGACTCCACCAGTCGCTCGTAGTACTTGTACGCCTCGGTATGCTGTTCCCGGGCGAGGTACAGCTGCGCCAGCATATCCAGCATGGACTGCACGTCGGCGCTGTCCTTGCCCTTGCGCGTCTCCGCCCATGACAGGTACCGCTGCAGCCACGGTCCCGCCATCTCCAGCTTGTTGTTGCTGCTCCCTGGCATCATGAGCGCGATGTAGTTCCCTCCGTCGCTGTATAGCGTGTACAAGATCCCAATGGTCGCGACCAGGGCCATCGACTCCGGGTGGTCAGGCCCGAGCGTTTCCTCTGCGATTGCAAGCGCCCGCCGCAATGTTTCTGACGCAGTGGTGGAATCCTGCTGCAGCATCTGTAGGGTCCCCTGCAGGCGCACCGCGCGCAGCGAAAGCGGATGCCGCGGCCCGAGGAGCTCGGTCACCTCGCGCGCGATCTGGCCCGTTTGCGCCGTCATGTTGGCGATCTCCCCGCTGAAGCGCATCTCGAGGAGCTTCTGCGCGTTTTGTGTGCGCGCCGTGATCACCACCTCGACGGTGTCAAGCGTGGAGGCCAGCACGCGGATGTGCTGCGGGCCGAGAACGCGCTGTAGCGCCTCGTGGCGCTTCTCGGCGATGCTGATCGCGTTCTGCTCCTGGCCGAGATTGCTGTACGCCATGCTGAGGCGACGGCGCGTCTCCAGCGTGTCGAGGTCGTCGTCGCCGATGCTCATCTGCTGGCGTGCGAGGACGTTGGCACACACCGACTCGGATTCTTGGTATCGGCCTCGTGCGCAGAGTATGTCGCCCATCAGGCTCTCGGCTCGCAGGGTCAGCGGGTGCCGGGGCCCAAGCGTGCGCTGGCCCTGGTCGGATACCCACTTGCACCATTCGGTTGCTTTGGCGAGGTAAGCGGCCTCGAGGTCGATCTCGGCGAGATGGTAGCCCACCTCAATTGTGCTATTGTGGTCCGGGCCCAGCGTCCGTAGGTGTTCCTGGAAGATCGCATACTCTAGGTTACGGGCCTGATCCCAGCGCCCGGCGTTCTTGTGCTCGGCCGCCTGGATGGAGCGCGGGTCGCTGTCAACCGCCGCATACATTGTCCCCACGACGCGTTGGCCGGCCGTCTGGGGAGTGGCACTAGGGTAGGGTGAGCTGCTGTTGGTATGCATGCGCGGAGGTAACGGCGGGCCCGGATGGGGCGACGTCGACGGTTGCGGGATGTATCCTTGTTCGGCGACGAGGACTTGGTCGACGATCTGCTTGATGTTGCCCTTGATAAGTTTGTACATGGGGCCGCGCGACCCGACTTTGCACATCTGCGAGTGGTCGGCGTCGAGTTTGAGTCGGGTTTCCCGATTACCGGGGAGGCCCAGCACGGCCGATTCTTCTTCCACGACCAACTGCCTTCTTTAGACCTTGTTCATCATCACGGAGAGGAGGCTTACATGGCTGACGGACGCCGGTCCCGCACCTCCAATCAACACCTCCTTGCCCTCCACGAAACTGACGACCCGATAGTCCTCCAGCTGGTGACTGAACCGGCTGGACATCTGCCGCGTGAAGAGCGAATTGTACTCGAGACAATCCAGCAGCTCATTACTCGCATGTCCTTTCGATACGAAGCGAGCGACCTTGGCAGCAATCTTGCCGACTTCAACACCCTTGGCGCCACGATGGGGAGTCCCAAAGAAGACGAGTCCGCATGTCGCCAGCCGGATAGCCGTATACTTGGGGTCTTCATGCGCATTAAGCAGAGCCTATCACATCAGTCTCGCTATCCTCGAGTTTACATCATGTTACCTACCTGCTTAATCACCAAGCCCCCCAGGCTATGTCCGATAAACACAATCTTCGGCGGACGCGTGTTCTACCATCATCAGCTCCGCACCCCGTCAAATAAACCTAGACATACCAGCTGCGGACTCCTCTCCATATCGAGCAGATTCAACAGCGTATTCGCATGATCCTTCACACTCGCCGTCGACATGGCCTGCGGATTCGTCACGTTCGAATTATATCCGTACACGAACACCCGCGCGTGCGGGATATCCTGCGGCAGGTAATCCCTCGGCCAGAAGGTGCCATTCGGATGGCGCCATGTTTCGTAGGGGTGGTCACTTCTTCCGCGGGGGTTGAGACCGTGGACAAAGACGAAACTACGTTGTGTATGTCAGCTTCTTGCCCGCTCATAGGATGAAGGGGATTCGTACTCGATCTTGGATTGTGAGGGAGGGGTGTATACCTCCTCGAGGAAGGGGAATTCGTTTTCGATTTCCTATTCACATAGCTTAAAATCATGTATAGAGTATATTCGAAGAGAAGGGACGTACCATGATGCCTTGGGGAAAGTGACATGATGGAGAGTCTGGGAGGGGCAGAAAATGAAATACGCCTGGTCATCAGCCGCACGCGATCGGTCATCTATATCACCATGTGATATCTCAGTTGCAGATACGAGGCGCCGGCTCGGCTGGAATTTCCAATTTCCTCGTCAGCACTACTTTGGTGATATCCCGGATTGACCAGGGTTGGATTGGCTGTGTCTAGCTTAGCGCATTCTGTGGACAAAAGAGGATAGCGGGGTTTCCTAATCGGAGTAAAATTGGCGAGTTCGATATCAGGACAACCATGCACTAAGCGCTTATATCATGCCTGGCGAATAGGAGCTTCTGCTGGATCCTCCTTGCTCTTTAGATTCTGCAGACAAGGTGCGTAGAAGAGACTCCCTTGCCATGCGCCGTGCAGCGTGCGGGCGGCCACAACGAGCCACAAGAGGATGACGGCCACACTGAGTATCTATCTAATTTAGTAATTGAAGTTTACTAAATGGTGATTTATACTTACCATTCCAAAAATCTTAAAAACCATCAAATCCAGCTGCTCACCCAGCAGGAGGGTGTTCGCCGCATAAACGCCCAGCGGAAAGGTGAATCCCCACCAGCCCATATTGAATGGAAACGGGGACGCGTGATAGATTGTCGCCAGGGCAAAGACAAGCCATATTAGCCCGAAACTCCACATAAGCAGGGAGATGAACAGCCCCAAGGTGTACGCGACCGATCCCGCCACGGGGTCGATCACAGCGTGAGTCTCGACAAGTTTGCGCAGAACTTTTCCAAGATACAGAATCCTATCTCGTCAGATCAAGTTGTACGACGTGATATAATGGCTTACCCAAATCCCCCGAATCCCAGCGGCCCCAGCGGCAAGAAACAACTGACAATCGTCTCCCGGGAGGGAAGTTTATGTACCGCCAGGCGCTGGTAGTATATCACCAAAATGGTCATCGCGAGAGGCGTCCCCATACCCCAGAGGATATACGAGGCAAGCACAGTGCCCATAGCATGCTGCTTATCTGGCAAGATCTCGGCAACCTCTGCCCCTGTCCCTGCCGCAACGATCGTCGCCGCGATGGGGAGAAGCTGCAGCGCGGTGATGCGTTCGAGGGACGTAATATACGTCTGCGAGATCCTATCATCGTCAGCCTGTTGTATCGCATAATCAGTCGCTAGAAATACAGAATAAAAGACAGCGACACCGTCACCGACGCAGCCGCCACCGCATCGACAATCCACAACACCCACGCCACCGTCCTCGTCCAGTCCCCCCAGGCCGGCACACAGACGAACACCCACATCTCAATCAGCGTCGCGAAACCCATCGGACAGGTCGCAAGGAAGAGTGAGTTTGTCGGGTCCTGAATCATCACTGCCCAGATCTCAGGGTACAGCGTGTACCGGAGAATGGACATGCAGAGTACTACAGCAAAGAGAACGACGTTGAGAATGAAGAAGATGATGGATACATAGTGCAAGTATGTATGCCCGAATGGGATGATATGGAATAGAATGGCGACGATGCCGGTGCCCATTGTCGTGGAGAACCATCTGTGGATTGTCTGTCAGGTGTTGTGATGCTTGTGCTAGCAGAGTGAGCAGACTTACGATGGGCTGAAATGGCTGACCACGCGACGCCAGCCCGCGTGATATTTGAGGAAGCTTTTACTTAGTGTTGGCTTGGGACGAGACTCCATTTTGATGATCAGATAGTTAACGATGTTGAAGATGTTGCATGAAATTCGTAAGTGAAGTTGGAATTTGGTACTGATTAACCTCGGCCGAGAGCAAACCTTTTTCCCCGGCGCGGATATAGCCGATGCTAGCAGACACTCCTTATGTCCCAACTTTGATAGCTCTGAGTTTTGAGTATCAAATATTTTGCTTCTTTAGTGATTGAATTCAAGTTCTGTACACAAAAACAGGCACAAATAATCCCAGCTGCAGAGAGGGAAACTATCGCCAAACGAGTGACATCCTCTTAACTGTCAAGATACACTTCAACAAACGACAATTCGCACCTGCTAGAGAAAGCAGTGACCCTCTTATATATGTATCAGACCCAAGTCGCTCAGAATCCGCCAGGTCCACCACCCATGCCACCAGAAGGACTGCTGCCCCTGCCAGGAGCGCTACCACTGCTACCCGAATTACCAGACACAGCCTCACTGCCGCTGGAGGTGTAAACGAAGCTGTAGTTTGGCGTGTAGGTTGCTGTCAGGTCGACCGCCACAGTGGCCCAGCCCAGCAATCCATCTTCCACACTGTCCCCGAGGAGAACGTAGTTGAATACCGGGTCCGAGGTGGTGCCAGACGTCTCGTCCGAGAAGACGCGGTCCTCGGCGTTGGTTGTCTGCGCGACAGTATTGGTGCTGTAGGGCGAGGTAGCTTCTACCTCGTCGATGAGGGACTGATCCCAGAACAGCTGTCCGATGTGGGGGACTGTGCCGCCGGTCAAGGTATTGTTGGAAAGCAAGGTAGCATTCAGATGGGCGATGATGTGGTGGTGAGTGGTTCTGCCTGAGTAGTGGCCGGGGAAGAGCGTGTTGAAAGATACAACACCATCCGAATCCGTCTTGGCGATACCACGCAAGAAGGTCTCTTCCAGGATGGAGGTGTCCGCGCTGTTGCCGTTGCCATTGCCGCTCACACCAGAGTACACACCGGTTGCGTTGCAGCTCCAGGTGTCAATGTACAGGCCCTCGACCGCCTGGCAGGTGCTGACATCGACGAACTGAATATCCAGCACAACGGGGACACCGGCCTGGCCCTCGATAATGTCCGAGCGAATCAGCTCTCCACTAACCCAAAAAGGGCCCGTCTCGCCCTCGGGGTTGAGAACGCAGGTGCCAGTGCTGCTGAAAATTTCCGTCTCATCGGTCGAGGTCGTGTAGTCGGCCGAGGACAGGTGAGAGGTGTTGAGCACGGCGTCGGTATCACGAATGGCTAGCTTACGGCGCCGGTACTCGCTGGCGAGCTTCGCACGGCGAGCAATGGCGCGCGCATTGAGACCACTCTCATCGAAAGACCGCGCACACAGCGAAAGACCGCGACGGACGTGCGCCTTGAACGCCAACAGCTCGTTAGATGCCCGCTTCTCCTCGTGGCCAGGATGAGCGGACACCAGAGAGGCTCCGAGTAGACAAAGAGAAAGAACTTGCTTGAGCTGCATCTTGAGGCTTCGGTGATATGAGTAGCAAAGTATCTGGAGGATCGTGTAGTGAAGAATCATGGACGGCCGGCGGACTGCGAACCCTTTATATAGAGAGCAGCCGCCATATCGCAGAACGATTCACGTACTTCCCACAGAGAAGGGACAGAGTCCATCATCAATCGTCTTCCTGGTGGTCGCTATTGCACCCCCGTCTCGACGCGTTGAGAGCTAGGCTTCGAGCAGTAACATTGTCCGAATAATGGCAAGCCCCGAGCTATCTAATGCATAGCCGTTGCTTCTTCCAATGCCAAGAAAATCCAATACAGGGATCTGCTCATTTCTCCAGAGCGGCAGAAGTATCATGGTGAAGATACTCCGCTGCGCCAAGACAGAGAGTCGTCAGTGGGTGACGAATACCCTCTTTTAGCCTGCATGTCCACAACGGCAATATTTGCGCACTGGTGGAAAACAGAGTAGGCTTAATCAACGTCCAGCCAGTCATCAGCAAGCTGATTCTACTGCCGTGATAGTCGGCTTAATGATCTGCATCCATTCACCGAAGGATCCAATCATGGTCTAGCCATTATTATCACCAGGGGGATTGAGCAAATGTGCCTGACAATAACCTCGACGCCCCATCAAACGAGCAAAAGTTCCAGCCATCTCATCAAGTCAGTCCATGTGGCCGAGGCAATGTGAGAGACAAATTTGGTTGGAAGCATCTGGTCAGAACACAGAGATGCGCAGCTTAAATGGCAACCGCGTGCGGCAGACTGAGCGCAGGTGTAGGAGAAATCACATCAAATAATAGCCAAAGGAGGCTTCTGTAATGAGGCATAGCGATACAGCCAAACTTAGCATCCACTGTGCTTCTCCTGGCGCGCTATGCATTCTCAATTGACTCGCAAATGTCCATACTCTGCACGGCTGTTTCGGAAGACTTCCGCTACGAGATGAGGATAACACCAGGTCTATTCCCAAAAACGCCACGAGTACAAAGTAATACCCCGCTCATTGACATGGGAATTAGTTTCCAGTGTTCTCATCCACTACTCGCAATCAGCAACATGCAGAGCCATTTCCAGGTCTAGATGTGGTCACTGCGCCGCTACATGTCTTCACGGTCATCGAGACGAATAACATTCCGGTCGATATTAAGCCATCACAAGGTGTGGATAATCCTCTCATTCGCCGGAGAGTCCATGAATGAAACGATACTCCCGGCTACCTTCCGCTTCAGCTGAGCAGCAGTCAACATCCCTGTAGAGGCGGACGCGTCTACTTCTGGGATTGTTGATCAGGAAGTCTTCGTTCAGGCTTGGAATGGAGATTCCGTTATCCTTTTCTCACAGTCATCGGTTCTGTTCGACGATTCGCTCAGCTCACGACCTGCTTCTCTGCAGAAGCCAACGGTCAACAATGCAGTAATCAGAGAATGGACACAGAACGCATCCACTGTTTCATTACCCAATTGACCATCACAATAGCATCCAGCAACTCGCTTGCCAATGTTCACCTGTCTCCCATATGCAGTACTCATTGATAGGGAGCCTGCTGTATTCTAACTTCACCGGTGACAGTTCACATAAAACGACCGGGATTCGCTTTGAATACTTCTTCAACGTAGAAAATTAGCATCAGCATCACGAGCAGTCCAGATTGGTGGAAAAGACCTGACCATCGGCTATTTGGAAGGAAAATAGTCGTACACAATAACTGCGTCCGTGGCCCAAATTTGAGCTTACGAGCATCGATCTAACCCTCCACAATCCCCAAGTGAGCAATTATCACTGAAATTATTTGCTGGGAACGGGGATATGTGTACCACATTAAACCGCGCAAAGAGAATGGTGTGTACAGTCCATTATACATATCAGGAATGGCCATGGCATGGGAATACGGCCCTAAACTCCGTTTCAGAATAGTAATATGGGTTGGCATGGCTAATTTCTTTCTGCATTATCTTTCAAGTCCCAAGCAATGCATGAGGTTGTTACGACGAATGCTTCAATGTTCAGAGTGGCCGTACGTGACCGTGGTAGATTCTGGCAGTAGGTGTTGGAAGTGAAGTGAGTTGGGCTTGAGCAGGGCAGAATACAGACGGCCTCAGGCAGTTCAATCGCGTGCTCTTCCCTCTGCGCCTGCTCAAAGCGAATTCTTTCCACTGCGCAGCAATTTCCATCTACATCACTTGGCCATCCGCACATGCATCCTGCATTCGATATATGAGAAAAGATAACGTTCATTGCTAAATGACTTTCAAATACTTCAAGCTTGAACCGCGTAGTCTGTCCATTAAACCGCTTGCTCATACGACTGGCCATCCGCTGGAGAAATCAATCTTATTCCATCCGAAGAGCTTCTGGCTGTCTGCATAGCCAATCGTGGTATCGACATAGTGGTAGTAAAGGATAGGGCCGAGGCTTGGGTCAGTGAAGACACCTCTGTGAGTGACGAATTAGCACTTAGATGCTTTTTACTGATGGATCGAAATGTGATGAGAAGAGACATACTGTCCACCAGGTCCATAAACAGTTCCGTGACTTTCGAGGACAACCGTGCCGCCGCCATTCGTGCATGCAACACCGCTAGCATCAACCTGAGACAATATCAGCTTTACAACAATCGAGGTCTTTTCGCGTCTTTACTTACGAAATTGCCAGTCGCTGAGGTGGATCGGCAGACTTTGATCTTATATTCTTGTCCGGATGCCGGCATGGATGTGTCATAGCCGCAGCAGATTCCGGCAGAATAAAAGAGATAGTAGTAACTGCCATACTTATACAAGAACGATCCTTCGACGGCATGAGTCCCTGAGGGGTTATAGGCGATATTATAGGACGAGGATGCCACGGCTGTTGCGGCCGAGTTCATCGGTGCCTGGTAGATGTCATGCCAGAAGGAGCCGAAATTCATGTAGTAGGTTCCCCCGTCGTTGAAGAGGTTGCCATCAATCGCATTGTATGGCTTTGAGGAGCTAGATTGGATACCCGTCGATCCATGGTCGGTCCATGAGTTCAAGTCCATGGTTGAGGACGTTGCAAGACCGATGGCAGAGGATTGGGATCCAAAGGTCGAGACTGAATAATACACATAATAGACGCCGTTGACGAGAGAGACATCCGGTGCCTACGTAGTTCGAGTCAGACTTCACCCCAGAGGGATGCTGCAGCAAACTGTCGGGCAGGCTTTGCCTTATAGGCAGAGGACACGGGGATGGTCAGATGAGGGATTTCGACTGAATGAGAAAAAAGAGAGATAGTGTCAACTGAGGAATTACTAACCCAAAGATCGTCGTTTCCAGCCAGGTTGATCGACGACCCACTCGGCAACACGGAGCCTAGCACAGTCCATGGACCTTGAATGGAAGAGGATGACGCATAGGAGATCTTATTGCCAGTAGAGAACCGGAAGTACTTTCCGTCGGACTGTCTTCGAATCAGGCCAGGATCATGAACGTTACAAGCTCCAGAACATGACCCCGGGTTGGCATAGCCATGGACCAATGCTACCAGGAAGGACGCTACAGCCACAAAAGCTGAGGAAGGCATGGCTACTGAACGAGCTCAAGTCGATTTCATGATGGTGGGAAAGAAGTATGATACGAGGGACCACCACTGCTATATATATGCGCGCGATTCAACGAATGGCAGAGCTGACAGGTTTACAAAGCACAAATGAACTATTTGTGCAAACCATTTGTCCGTTTTCTGTTCCGGTGGGAGGATCTCCTCAAATTGGGCTCATTAAGGCCGTCACACTCGTCAAGGTGAGCGGATGGTGGAGTTTATACTAATGTCAGGCGCTGAGTTTCACCTTTCCCCCGCTCTGTGTCAGCAGTCACTGGTACAAGAAAGGTCGGTCATTGTCCTTGATAATCACCATCCTACGCCGCCAGCATCCACAATGATCACTATTTATTGAGCTGTATGCGTTACTTGGTTGTGTCGTTCTAGCACGCTAATCCTGGCAAATCAGCCGACATCTCCACACTGCAGCCGGCATCCTGCAGCACATAAATTTCCCGGGTTGCGGAGAAAAATGCGGGGTGAATACTGCGATTCTTTGTCCTGCTCTCTCGTCAGAAATCCTTCACAATGCAGCATGACGGTAAAACGTGCTTGCCTCGTGATTTGCCGAGTAACCGGAGCGTTTTGACTTGCTAAGTCCGAGCTGCCATGGTCGTAGTTGTTGCGTCCACCAGCCACAGGAGGAGTTGCTGTTTCGGTTGTTTCAGCACCAGCTGCAGTATCGAAGTAGATATCCACCAATCGGACGGTGCTTGCGAGTGCCGGGCTGCCGGGAATTCAACCAGATATATGACGCTATCAAGCGGTATTTTGGATGGCCGCCAAATGACAGTTCGCCCGCTAACTCGGCTACTGCATTTGGAGTACATGCGGTCAATGAATTCACGTCTCACAATCGACTGTCCCCAAACAGAAATGACCTGCCGGACTGCTAGAAGAGAGAGATTTGCAACATCTTGGCAGGGGAATGTGTCAGTCTGCCAAACACAGATCCACCGGGCTGCGGGCCTTTAGCTAGCGTATCCCACCCGGGCCCCACMAATGGTCTGTTTTGTCTGGCCTGTCTCCTCGCATCAAGCAAGAAGACAATCTAACCAGAGTTGCACGGAAAATGGGTGTGGGATGTCGAGTCCGGCCTCCTAATTTCTTCTACTTAGAGGATGAAGACGTTCAACATATAAGGTCGCGAACAAGGTCTCTGGTTCTGCTGTATAAGCACGTTTTATTTTTCTTTACTTGACAGGTGAGATACTTGAGTGCTCCTCAGGTAGAAGAAAGCTGGTCATACAAGGTAACGAGTCCTATCGGCGTGGCTGATTTGAAACCAGAAGGTTGTGCGGAAAATTCCTTCTCTTTGGCCCGTTCTTTGTTCTCTTCGCCCTCGTTAAGACCTTCGAGGTCATCATTTTGTTGAGCTCGATGCTGTCCGGTTCAGTCATACGTTTGGATCGCTGACAAGTACTTGGAATCTAATTTTAAACCTCGCTCCCGAGAAGTTGCCTCCATCGCCAAGATCTATGCCACGATCCGTGCACGATCCTATGCTTGCGCGCAATTCTACACTCCATTGAAAGAATGTGGATGGCAGACGAGGGCTCGGAAATAGAAATGAGACATGGGCTCCCAGACCTCTTGGTTGAGTTTGATGGTCAGGCAACAAAGCAACAAATACCGCAATGCGAGTGATGAGAGAGATCTTGCAAGCCGCGAGAGTACTTTTGAGTTGATCGTCAAGGTTCCTCTGCCTATTTCAGTTCAGTACTTTCCGGCCCAGCCAGCCACTCCAAGACAGCATGCATAAGTCGTCCGCTGATGCGTCAAGATGTGACCGAGACAATATTTTCGAAATGCTTCAGCAATATGACTAGTTTTGTCATCGGTTCAATAGTCTGGGCCTATCTGAAGAGCGTTCGAACTCGCAATCGCGGAATAAAAACAATGCAGATCGATCTCCCAACTCGTCTCACCCCTTGATGCGCAATCTCATCTCCTTCTCCCATCCCTACGATGAAACGCAGGTACATTTTGCCGCGGCGATGATCATAAGCTGCCCCTTGCAGTCCCAGAATTCTTCCCAGCCCATCTTTTACCAACTTTATTCCACTGGAAATCCCAGCATTGCAAAAGAGGCATCGACCAGAGAGATTGACCTTGCACGGGGTGTATGAACACACTAACTAAGCCCTCTGAGCCACCCGCCGACGAGTCTCCCAGCTTTGCACCAGATGAAACCTTTTCTCCAGCAAATATCCCGTGCATTCCATGCCCATCACAATCAGCCCAAGGCATAAGCTTCCTCACCCCTTGCTCCAACGTGGTATGCCAATGCGTATTCGCTCTCGTTTTAGAAGTCTTTCAGCGCAGGTCTGGCGTTACATGTTACAATCCTGCTATGTGGTGTGGATGAGATCCAATGAATCAAGTTTGCCCGTGCATGTATACTCTAGTCGGCCGCGTGCGCACCCCCTTGGGCACATCCCTTCCTCCTTCCTACTTCCGGTAGATATGGAGAGATAAAAAAAAAGGGTCTGCACCGATTGCCAGAATCGCCCACTGGACGGAGATAGGAAGCAATTTGTGCTTTCTAACCAATTTCCGCAATAGCTGGATTCCAGTTCTCTGTCATTATGGAGGCTGTGATTGTGGTAAGATTCTCTTCGTTCTCACATTGATGGAAGTTTTTGTACTAAGGAGTTGTCTCGCTGTAGGCATCGGTTCTCTGCGTTGCCTATGCAGTATACTACGTATATTTCGATGCTTTGGCCAAAATTCCCGGTCCCCGATTAGCGAAACTATGCCCAGTGAGCATGCCATGTCCTATCCAGCGTCCTTAAGGTCAGAATTGACAGAGGCAGTCGTGGTTAGTTCGTGTTTTTTGGTCGAACAAACTCAACCAAAGCATACGGGAGCAGCACCAGAAGCATGGTAAGCCGTTGATGCCCTTTTCTTCCCCCTATCTCTTTTACTAACTCGATAAACCTGACCGAGGATAAAGGCGATGTTGTGCGCCTCGGACCAAGTGAACTCTCCTTCTGCTCCATCAGTGCCCACGACACCATCTATAACGCGAACTGCGCATCCTTCGTCACATATGGAGCGTTCGAGTCGACCGTCGAGGGTCTCTCCCCACCGGGAGTTACCTTCGTAAGCTATCGCAGCCCAGCGGAGCAGAAAGAGTTGCGGAAAGTCTTCCACCCAGCCATCCGTCTCGCAGTCACGGGCGGTGTTGAGGGCCACCACGAGAGACGATTTAGTGAGCTCGTGGCCGGGTTAAACATCAAGCCGGGCACCCCCATATGTGTCAATCTCACCGGTCTCCTCGAACAGTTGGAATGGGCCCTCATAGGTGATGTGGGACTGGGCTACCCCGTGCCGGAAAGCATGAAAGGTACCATGTAATGACCATTCGGACCGCCGGTGAAATGCTAACCAGGGGTGTCTTGGACAGACAATTGGATCGGCCTAAAATCTCACCAAAACCTGATCGGGGTCGCCTTCGCGCTGGGTTCGTTCCTTCTGAGCCGGCGCGGACTCAAGATGCTCATTGATAAATTTGGCTTTCTGTGGATACCAAAATTCCTAGATCCGGCACACCTATCTGGTGTTGCACTGAAGCAGTACGTCTGGCTGGCGGGGCCCATGATATATAGCACAGCTGACAGGTGGATACAGGCGAGCTGAAGGCACGAACACGTTCGTTTCCCAAGCAATACCATATAAGAACGACAAGTACCCTCGATTGGCCGAGCAGATGTCTAGCAACGTCACTGGCCTGATGTGAGCCGCGACCGCTTCAGCCACGGAAGAAAAGTGCTAAAGGTTCTCAGTTATGCGTCTTTCGAAACATCCGAGTCCTCCACCCGGGCAATCCTATGTGCCCTTTTGCGAGATCCTGTGCGCTACCGCACTCTGCAACAGGAGATCCGGTCAAATTTCTCAGCCAGCAAGCCCATCACCGACAGCCAACTCCTAGAGCTTCCATACCTCACTGCCTGCATCAACGAGGGCTTGCGACTATGGCCCGGCCTGAACGGGCAATTCACCAGTCGGATTTCGACAGGCGCGGTGGTAGACGGTGTTTACGTTCCCCCTGGAGTATGTCGCATGCATTCATCTCCTTTCTCGTTTCTTCTTGGTTATCCTGCCGTCTTCCTCGGACCCCTACTGACAGGATTTGACGAGTAGTGCTTAGTCTCGGTGGATCTGTACACTCTCCAGCGCCACCCAAGATATTGGCACGAACCGGATACCTTCAAGCCCGAACGCTGGTTGGACCCCAAGAATCCAGACGAGAAGCGCGCCTTCCGGCCATTTTCCATAGGACCCCGCTCGTGCCTGGGCCGGCAGATCGCGCTGCAGAAGCTTCGCCTCACCATCGCCAAATTCATGTTTTTGTTCGATATGCAGTTTGTCAATCCACATTTCGAGTGGGACCGAGATGTGCCCTCGGGTCTCTTGTGGAGCTCTGTCGAGGTCATGGTGCGGATGTCGCTTCTAGAACCGCCAGCGGAAGCCTGAGTTCGGTATAGTTGTATCACAGTAATAGCACATAGATTTGTTACCGTCTAGGCTTGAAGTATGAAAGCATATGATGGCATGAGCCTACTCATGCTATAATAATCCAGCCATTACCCTCGTCAACGCCTCATCCTCCGCTTGAAAGGCATCAAACCCTTCCGTCGCGGCATCAGGTAGCAGCCCCTCAGCACTCGCGCCTCCATTCCCCATCCGCGAATCGAAATAAAACCCACCCGCCATCTCAAAGAAACTTGTCAGGTCCTCACAACTTGTCTCGTCCACAAGCACTGTCGTCGGAGACGTCATGGAGCGCAAGTACGCAGACGCCGGGTGCTGCGGCGTGGGAACACCCGACATGGGCCGCTGGGTATCCGGCGGCTCGGCATGACTCCCCATCGACAGTGGGGTACCCGTAGCAACCAGTCCAAGCGGAGTGCGGCGATTTGCCCCGTTCTTCTGCACTGGCTCTTTGGGCCTCTGCGCCCCGAGATTCATCCAGATCATCTTCAAGCTCTTTATGATCTTCTGTAAGCGGCGGGAGGTTCGCGCGCGTGTCGACGACCGCCGCACCATGTCAACGGCGGTGTAGAACTCAGGTCGACAAACTTGGCTGAACCGCGCGGGGGCGTGCAGGACCGCCAGGAACAGCGCCGCCAATGCCGAGATGAGGAAATAATTGAAGGGTTCCGGGCGCTGGAAGTAGAGCGGCGACACGCGGGAGAAGAAATCGAGCATGTGGACAGTGCTTTTGGCTGTTTCGACGGCGGTCGAGGCGCCGGGAACATTGGTTTCGATACTCTCACTGCTGAAAAGGTTCTGGCGGTAGACGAGGATACGGAGCTGGTTTGCCTGAAGGGCGAGGAGAACCTGGAGCATCATCATGCTGTCGGTTTGCGTGTGCGATTGGGACTGTGGTTGTGGAGTGACTGTAACTGTGGCGGCGCGGCCGGCGCGCTCAGACCGGGTTGGCAACTGGGCCGCGTCAAAGCGTAGCTCAGGAGGAATAGATTGGATCCATTGCTGAACCTGGAAGTCGAGATAGGCGCAGTAGTCTGCTGTTGCGGCTCGGGGCCGGTTGCGCCAGCCCACGACTAGGCCCCAGATCTTGGTGCTCAGACGCGCGTAGTGGATCATGCAGGTGAGATACGGGGTGCTTGTGCCAGGTTCGGGTAGATTGGTGTCCATGTCTGAATCCTGGATGGCGAAGGGCAGGCCCGTGCCGAAGGACCATTTGCGGTCGAGCACGTAGATGCACCAGAACAGCCTGCTGGCATATTCGCATTGCAGCTCACCGGGGAACACACCACCGGTCTTTTGCCAGGTCTCCTGGCAGTGTAGGCCCAGTTGCATTGATCCTCGCACCGCCATGCCGATAAGCCGCCAGGAAATGACTTCGTCATCACGATAGGAATGGAAGATGGACTGTCTCGTCAGCAGCCGAAGATGTATCAGGCAGAAATGACGGAAATACCAGCAAAGTCAAAATGAGCAACTCCTTCATATCCACCTCCGGGACCTTGAGCCGCGTCGCAAACCGATCCTCCACGCTATCCGCCAGCAACGCCGCCCTCTCACTACGGCCATGCGACTCGGCTAACAACGCCGTCGCTAGTAGAATCTTCAGCACCTCGATATCCCTCGCGAAGAACCACTCCTGATCCAGCGTAGCCGGTGAGCCCGGCCCCACTCCGTCCTTATCCCGGAAGTATTCGGCAATATACGTACGCACGCTTTCCAGATCGACGCAAGGGTACATCAACCCAACCGTATTTTCGTACACGCCGACGAGACGGAGCGCCTCAGCAGAACCTAGGCACCGCAGCGGATCATCAGAAGAAATGTCGTCTCGGAGCGGGGCTGCCGGACTCTGCACCGCCGTCGAGATGAGGTCATCGCCGCTGTCGAAGTCGTCGGCATGCCGTTGGCGTGCGGTCAGGCCAAACTCTGCACTCGTGGGACCGACGTAGGACGGTGACTGCGGGCGGTTCATGATGCGGTGGAGTCCTGCAGTCGTTGACGAGGAGGACACGGTTGAGATAACCGTGGAACTATTGTTTGTTGTTGAAGGGGAGGCTGATTCAAGTTGTCGCAGGCGAGCGGACATAGCTCGCATCTCGCGTTGCAGGGCCTCGATCTGACGGTCAACGGTACTCAGTCGGGTCGAGAACCTGACCATCGTCAATTTATATCATTCAAGAACGCCGATGCAGCTGACCTTTCATCGTTGACCTGCACCTCTGGTGACGAAATTGTTCTGTTGCTGAGTGCATGGGTTGTGGGAACATAGATGCATTGAACATTGTCGTGGGCGCAACGCGAACAGACCGTCTCTCCGCTACATTTCAGTTTCCGCCGCTTGCACTCATTGCTGTGTCCATCATTATCAGACGAAATATCACAAATGAGGTCAAGACGGTGGGACGCACCATGCTACCTGCGTGTACTTGGCTCGTTTCTTGCTCGGAGGCTGCCCGGGAATGTCAGCACCGCGCTTGGGGGATTCCGAGCCCATAATCTGCCGCGCCTTAGCCGCTGTAACTGGTCTGGTTTTACGATCTTTACCGCATCGGGACATTAGAAATCGAAGCCGATGGAATCAAAATGGGCTGATACMTGCAGTATGGTTGAAATAATATCAGGTGGAAGAGGAATCGGTGGGTAAGAGGAAGAAACAATTCCGCGTCTCGAGCGGACAGCGCGGAATTGATGCGGATTCGATATTAGCCTGAGGCATCAATGCTATCCACTAGGCTGATGAGTACACACTCCGGACCACCTTTTTAGTCCAGTGGTATTAGTTGTTGACAAAATTCTCAAACTCGCTTCGTTTTATCGATTGAGCTGATTCCTCAATTGATATACTTTTACATACAGAGACCGACCACAGGGTCATTCCATGACTTGCTGATCAAATATACAGGCTTGTAAATGTCGTGAATCATAATCCTCATCCAACAGTGTCCATCACAACTGAGCATCACGGCAACATTCCTTTTGCACAAGTCTCGACGACACATTCTTGCTCGAGGGCACATCCAAAGAGGGATTGGCCGTGAAGAAATCCGCCGGCTTAATCATCAATTGGAATATCTCAACAGGCCTATTGACTGTTAGCACCGAGACACTGATTGAAAGGGATGAAGCGTTGCCCACATTACTGGCCAATCCTCTACACGAGGATTGTGCGTGATACCAAAGGTACTCCAGACCACCACATCCGTATCAACCACGGTTTCGCCTCGTTTGACAGCGTCAGCCACACCATCCACCTCTTGCTGGCTCTGAAGCGTGTATCGACCTCCGGCATACAGCTCACCATCGCGATGCTTTGTCACCCACACGTGGTGTTGTGCAAACTGCGCCCGCTTGGCTTGGACGGAGTTGGGATCCGCCAGTAACCGCTGGGTCGCCAGCGGAATGAACTTGTAGCCGACAGGGTGACCGCTGATGGGATTCTTCTTATGGGGGTTGATCATCTTGATGGTACGGTTCAGTTCCGGAGCGGCGTCGAGGTAGCAAGCGCGCTCAAGCGTCTGTTGAGTGACCTTGTAGAAGTTGCCCTTTGGGTTGGTGATGTCGTTCATGGGAACTGGGTGGGATTCCTCAACCACGACGGAATTATTTGGTCCGTCAATTGCCGGGTCCATGCGGATACAGAAGATGTGCTGATGGTTCTGTGCCAAGACACCTCCGCTAACTACGTTACCGTAATCGCTGACCTTGCCCGGGTCGATGTTGACGACGTTCAGAATGCCTGTCGCGCGGGACTCGACTGTAATGCCACCAGATTGATCGAACTTGTAGGCGAAGATGTACTCGTAGTTAGCCAGCGTAATGATGAATTGCACGACCAGTTCGCGGTTCCGAGTGACCACGGCACGGCCTGTCCTCCAGTTGGAGTGCTTCCAACCGATGCCGTTGTCCTGTTCGTGCAGGCAGATGGCATTGGGCAATTTCTTCGCACTACCGTCAGGTCCTGTAAGGACAGCATCAAAGTATTTAATCACACCCAGGCAGTCACAGCCAAGAGAAAGGTTGTTGGCCATGTTACCACCACCACCATCGCCAAAGTCAAAAGCCTGTTTACGGTGGAAGGGAGGACGAGGGTCTGCATAGGGAACAGTCTAAATCCTGATTAGTCAAATTGTCTGAATAATCCCTGTGATAACAACCTACCATCTCGCTGATAGCCAGTCGGTGCATCACGCTTCGACCATCGTACCAGACATCATGGATAGTCGCACCCTCACGAGGATTAAAACCAACGCGGAAACGCCACTTCTGCCACTCGACCAAGGACTCATTCGTGACGCGGAAAGAAGGGCCCTCAGGCTGCACGACGTTCAGAGGCTTCAGATCCTGCCGTGTGCCTTCTGGCAGAAGCTCCGGCACGTAGTCGGAAGCCTTGCAGTGCCCAATAATATCACGCTTGAAGGTTTGCTCGGTCAAACCATCTCCCTTGCCACCAGTGGCCGGACGATCAACCCGAATGATTTCTTGCGTATGCGCATCCATCACAGGGATCAATGGCAGAGGGTAAGAGTAGAAGTTCGCATCCGGGTTATTCTTGCTCTTGTCGGTAGCAAAACAGAGACCCTGGAAGTACCGCCGATTCTCTTCAGTGTTGTCCAATCCACCATAGGGCCATGGCTCGATTGTGACCTCAAATCCCGGCGGCAGGTCAAAATCCTCCAAGGCTTTCTTGAATAAGGGAGAGGTAAAACATCGCTCAACGAGGTTATCGAATTCGCTCCTGTCATATCGTCATTAGCAGGTAATCGTCTTTTCTTCATATGCATCCCAACGCACAAAGTAAGCGGAGCATGGTGCTGCTTTCCGACAATGTTATACTTAACACGCTTCCGTGCTACAACGTCGACAACGGATTCATGGAAGGAGGGGATGCGGTCGGCTCCAATGACATCGTATTGGCAAGTAGCGAGACGAGGGGGTCGAGGGGTAGTTGGGCTCAGCCGACCAGCGTGCTCAAGAGCTAAAAA